AAATGCATTTGAATAGGATCTGCCCTTCTGACAATTTTCATAACCATTGAAAATTGCTAAGGTTGTATTTCCCTCAAATTAAAATAATTTTATTATTGATATGTCTATAGTTATGACTATAGTTAGAAACCTGTAGTTATCCTTTCTAAAAATCATGCACAAATAAGTGAGTTTGTTTTTAAAATGAGATTGTCATTATTAATGACAGTAAAGCAATTGAACATGTTCTTTGTAAAGGCTTATAATATAACTATGGCAGCATCTGTTCACTTGGTGTTGGCACAGAGTAATTGAATGATGACAGTGGGAATCTAAAATGTAGAAAATTATGGAAGTAACTTTCTGAAATTAAATATTACATATAACTATTTCAACATGTCCTACACACAAAAATCATAAAATACATATCTCCTAGCCTTTCAGGCTTTATGTAGCAATCCAGGTAACTTTTCTGGGGGGAAAATCTTGTCTTTTGATCTGTGGGTGAATTTGATTAACTGTGAAGCTGAGGAATTGTGTGAGGACACCTGCCTTCACTTGGGCCCCACTTCAACCCGGATCACAACTTCTTGAGACTGCAGTCATGAGCTATCCGGATGACTATAATTCAAATTAGAACAAAAAGCATTGGTTTGTTGTTCCAAGGGACTTCCCTAGGAAATGAGACAAGAGTAGGACTGTTACGAGAGGCGTAGAAGCATCAACATCTGGGTAAAGACCCCACTACTCGAGGACCCGGTATTTCCCAAGATATTGGCAGGTATCGTGCAGACCTACCCTCAACACACATAAGCCAGTTATTTATTTCAGTCAAGTTTAAAGAAATGCTTATTTAGAAAATAGGTTGAAGACTTGTCTTTGTATTTGTTCAATGAATGAACGAGTGATCGCTTTCTTCTCTCTCCCTCCCTTTGTCTCTCCAGCCGCCTGTGTTGGGCACATCCCTTTCTGAAGTCCATAGATATGTTTAAGTTCCGGGGGCCATCTACAGTTGGAGATCGTCTTGTCTTCACTGCCATTGTCAACAATACATTTCAGACCTGGTAAAGTGAGCCCTTAGACTGCTATGAAGAAATTTAAACTTGCACAAATGTAATTTTTAATTTCAGCCTGGAGGTGAGTATAGGAACTACTTTAACAAAATTCCATTTTTTTCATGCAATTTTCAAAATCCATGAACACATGTTTAACTCTTTGTTCTGCTTGGGGCCTTCTCACAATTAGTAAATTGTGACAGACTGGTTTTTGTCTTATAAGGGTGACCGTATGTCCCAGTTGGCCCAAGTTGGACCTGGTTTGTACCTGTCATCCCTGCATAATTATTAACTTTTCCTTCCAGTCCCAGTGACTAGATGGTCAATCAACTCATAATGGACCTGGTATTACCACCATGAAATCCAAACCACTTCCCAGTTATTTTTATTATTCTTGGTACACAATGAAAAGATTTGATTTAGTATTTTTTTCTTTTTAAATGTAAGAATAATATCTGTGTTTCCTGTCTAATTGCAGTGTTTATTTTTTAATTACATAATTATTGTTTTTAGGGAAGAAAACTTAACTTTGGCACAATTTAAGCCCTCCCCCACATTGCCAAAATACGTTCATGAATGTATATAAAGCCCTTTCTGGCCTTTTTCCCACTTGAAAGTGGGGAAGTAAAATGTAAATGCTCTTAGGGGCTTGTAAAAAGCAGCCCATTGACCTGAAAATGGATGTTAATAGTTGCACAGATTTGCTGAAAACAAAGAAGAAAACCCAGGCCCTTATCCTCCTGTTGCTTGGAGGAGGTGGCGGCAGTGAGCAAGGAGGGCCTAATGGGTCGAGATCCTCTTTGCCCACCGCCCTGCGTCACCCTTCACAGTGTTGAAGTTGGAGTTCGCGTGGAGGCCTTTGACTGTCAGGAATGGGCTGAGGGCCGAGGGCGTCACATCAACAGTGCTTTTCTCATTTACAATGCTGCTGATGATAAGGAAAATCTCATCACGTTTCCCAGAATTCAACCCATTTCAAAGGTCAGTTATTATCACACGAGGTTCAATAGCCAGACCTGTGAATAGAGAGCTCTACCCAGAATCTCCCGCCACCAGCAACAACCTCTTTGGCTCTTTGCCTTTGGTTTTTTTCTCCCCTCCGAGCACTCTGATCATTTGTTCAAATAATGGAAGCCCTGAAGACCTCACCTCTGCTGGGCCACACACTGCTGTGGGTAGGATGTCACCTTCTGTGTCCTATTTCTAGGTCTCTTCTCTCACTTCCTTACCTCTAGCTCTTGATGCTGTGCCATGTTCATGGGAACCATATCTTTCCCTCATCCCGAAATTACCTGATCGCCAATGTTAATTTTTTCTAAAAACTCTGTAGTGAGAATTGAGTACAATTCTGGTAATAGAAATGTTAATAATCTCCACTTTTGAAAAAGGAAGAAAATAACTGGAAGGATTACACCTTTGTCAGTGCAACTGCCCTTTGTGGATTCAGCACAGAGGCTCTGACTTGATGAAGTCAGTTCATGGAGAGATGCCACATCCCAGTTAGCCTTTTTGACTGATTTAGGAGAAGGATACTTAAGGATTATAACACTAAGATAGTAGAGATTTATTTTATTTGATTTGATTTTGTTTTTGATTAAAGGATGATTTTAGACGCTATCGGGGAGCTATTGCACGCAAGAGAATTCGCCTAGGCAGGTAAGGAACATAAGGTGTAATGATTTTATGGAGTCTTCGTTAATCTGACAAATTATACAAGAGCCCCTCTCCGGGTCTCTATTCCCACATAACAGAAAAAGAGAAGGTCTGATTTTCCTGGCCGCAAAGGCTGATTACTGACTTATGGAAATAGTTCTTCCACATTGTTCCACTGATAACCATGGCTGATAGAAGTTCAAGAAAGTGTTATGGTTATTGTTGTGTGCTAAATGCAGAGAAAAAAAAAACCTCTCATTTAATATTTTAATTTTTTTTCCAGGAAATATGTTATTTCCCACAAAGAAGAGGTTCCACTTTGCATACACTGGGATATCAGCAAGCAGGTGATGTTTTATGATTTGGAGCTCTTCGTATAAAAGTCTTATCATTACAAAAATGGAAATCACCTGGCCTAACTGGCTTAGGTTGTGCCTACACAGGCTATGTGACAAGGTGGATTATATCAGCCAGTCATGTCAAAATGAAACGAAACCAGGCTATCAGTTACTGCTTACCAGTCGGCAGCTGAGCCTTGTTTGACTTCTTACAGTTCCCAAACTACAGACTCAGGATGCTCTGCCGTCAGGTATGTTCCAGAAGCATGGCACAGTCCCATCCGGCATCTCACCGTGATGTGTGCCCACCAGCTTGCATTTTTATAAAAACAGTAACAAAGTAGTATCATATGAATATTTTTAACCATTAAATGTAAAGAGAAATCCAAGTTTACTTATTACATGTTGATTATCAGTCATACTGAAAGGTAGTCTGTCTTTGCTCAGGACACCAACTAAAATGATAGATACCCAGTTGTTAAGTATACAGTTACTTTGTCTGAATTCTAAATTAAGGGTTCAAGATAAAAATTATATGTTAGCTGTAGCTTAGTTTCTTTGTTTTTTTGAGGCAGAGTCTCACTCTGTCGCCCAGGCTGGAGTGCAGTGGCGCAATCTTCCCTCACCGCAACCTCTGCCTCCAGGTGGCAGGTTCAAGCGATTCTTCTGCCTCAGCCTCCAGGTAGCTGGGTTTACAGGTTTGCACTACAACACCTGGCTAATTTTTGTATTTTTAGTAGAGATGGGGTTTCACCATGTTGGCCAGGCTGGTCTCGAACTCCTATCCTCAAGTGATCTGCGTGCCTTGGCCTCCCAAAGTGCTGGGACTACAGGCTTGAGCCACTTTACCCGGCCTGTAGTTTAATTCTAAACTCAACATTATCACTGGGACTCAACACATACCTCCTCCAACAGTGTCCATTTTTTAAGCAGAAAATATGTGATCACACATCCATGTATTGAACACATAGCTTTAAAAATATTTCTATTCTAGGCATCCCTGAGTGACAGCAATGTGGAGGCCCTCAAAAAACTGGCAGCCAAAAGGGGATGGGAGGTTACCAGCACTGTGGAAAAGGTAGGACACCTCTAGGTATTTGAATAATCCATTGCCCATCACAAATGAAAGCTTTGGTGGTGGTGGTAGTTCTACTGCTTCTACTGCGGCTTTTAAGATTAAAAAAACCTTTTGAGGAAACTGTTTATAAGAGGCAACCATCTTTTCAGCCCTGTCTCTACAAGCTGGTTGATTTGGAGTCCTTCAAATATGCCCCACATGCTCCTACCTCTGAGCTTAGGTTCTCACATCCCGTCTCTCCCTCCTTCTCTTCTCCATCTACCCAAATCCCACCTGATCTAGATCAGGACAGATGCTTCTCCATAAAGCCTCTCCTGCCACACTTGACTTAGGAACTTCTTTTTCTAGTAACTCCTTTAGTCATGACTTCTTTAAAATTAATTTTTTTGGCTGAGTGTGCTGGCTCACATACTAATCCTAGTACTTTGGGAGGCCAAGGCAGGAGGATCCCTTGAGGCCAGGAGTTTGATACAAGCCCGGGCAAAATAATGAGACCCCATCTCTACAAAAAAATTAAAAATCAGCCAGCTGTGGTAGCAGACACTTGTAGTCTTAGCTGCCCAGGAGGTCGAGGTGGGAGGATCACTTGAACCCAGGCATTTCAGGCTCCAGTGAGCTATGATCACATCATTGCATTCCAGCCTGGGCAATAGAGCATGACTCTGTCTCTAAAAATAATAAATAAATAAACAAACAATTTTTCAATTAATTATACACTACCTTATAGTGTATAATTTCTTCCCCAGCTACCTCAAATTAATATTTAAGCCTTACATGGAAATTTAACTTTTTACACATGCTTACACATGATCTTCTTTCCCTGAGTACATTATAAACCTCTTAAGAAAGAGACTTTGTCTCGACTTCTTTGTATCTCTCTTAGGACCTGTTACAGTGTTTTGCATGCCATCAGGTTTAAAGAGACATACATCATTTGGATCTTAATTTTATTTAATTTCAGAGGTTTATTAGGAGACCCTCGGAAGCTCATGCCCATGTTAACTAGACTGTAAGCTCTCTGAAGGCCGATCTGCTCACCATTACACCCAGACCACAGGAGCGCCTAGCACTTCAGAGACGCTCACTAATGCCAGCACTTTGGCTACATTCATATTTCAGTATGCACTGATTTTCATCATCAGTGAAGCAGCAGCCTATGAAATAGGATGACCGTATGTCCTGATTTTCTTGGGACAGTTCTGGCTTACACCTGTTGTCCCATCATAATTATTAACAGTGTCTTGGTGTTCCAGTTTGAATGATAAATTATGTTGTTACTTTACCTTAAAATCTAAGTAAATTCAGATGCTACTTCATTGATTCTTTTCAACTCTGACTTTGACCTCTTCTGAATGTTTTGTTTTTGGTTGTTTCCTTTTATGATTTATTTGTCCTCACTGTTAAATCCTTTAAAGGTCTTCCTTATCCCATTTGGATCCAGTGAAGTTTCTGTCTTTGCCTGGTTCAGTGATGCAGAAACACAGGTTTAACTAATGCATTTGTTTCTCTCTCATAAAAGATGCTTCACTACTTTGTTTTCTTTCGCTATTATAAAACCTGCTTCTTTCATCATTGCTGGGATCTGATCATTCATGAGCAGCAGTGGAAAAAACAAATTCATGTCTGGAATGGAGTGAAAGAACATATTTAGTGAAGTCGTAGAATATATTATAACTTCAGTTCTTGGGAGGGTGTGGCCCAAAGCATACCCAAACAAATTTGCTAGTGTTGTGGGAGAGCTATCAATGACTAATTCTTAATTATTATGTAAATAGTTACTAGAGGATATTGTATAGTTAAAGAAATATTCTTACATTATTTCCATTGAATTTGAATTTCTCCCTTAAAGAATATACTCATGATGAAAATCTGATTTTAAAAATCTGATAAAAAATGTTTTTGAAGAGTTATCCTCTTCTCTCCCACGTTTTACAGCTTATATGTTTTTAATTTCAAAATATGACTCTAATTTTTTCTGTCACCTTTTAGTTGAATAATTCTTACAACACAGTTGTCTGTTAAGAATCATACTTTTGGGCCGGACGCAGTGTCTCATGCTTGTAATCCCAACACTTTGGGAGGCTGAGGCAGGTGGATCACAAGGTCAGGGGTTCAAGACCAGCCTAGCCAAGATGCTGAAACCCTGTCTCTACTAAAACTACAAAAATTAGCCAGGAGCAGTGGCAGACGCCTGTAATCCCAGCTACTTGGGAGGCTGAGGCAGGAGAATTGCTTGAACCTGGGCAGCAGAGGTTGCAGTGGGCTGAGATTGTGCCACTGCACTCAAGCCTGGGCAACAGAGTGAGACTCCATGTCAAAAAAACAAAACAAAACAAAAAACAATCATACTTTCTGGCCAGGCGCAGTGGCTCACATCTGTAATCCCAGCACTTTGGGAGGCCAAGGTGGGTGGATCACTTGAGGTCAGGAGTTCAAGACCAGCCTGACCAACATGGTGAAACCCCATCTCTACTAAAAATAAAAAATTAGCCGGGTGTCATGGCGGGCACCTGTAATCTCAGCTGCTGGGGAGGCTTAGGCATGAGAATCACTTGAATCTGGGAGGCGGAGGTTGCAGTGAGCCGAGATTGTGCCACTGCACTCCAGCCTGAGCAACAGAGTGAAACCCTGTATAAAAAAAAAAAAAAAAAAAAGAATCATACTTTCCTCAAAGCCGGGTCTGACAGCATCCACCTGTAGTCCCAGCTACTTGGGAATCTGAGGTAGAAGGATTGCTTGAGCCTAGGAG